AGTAAATTACATGATTACCCTATGAGTTACAATTAATTATGCTCTGAATAGATTATACTTCTGAGATTTACAAGTCATTAAGTTCATGTGAGTTACAAGTCATTAAGCTCCTGGAAGTAACAAGTCATTAAATTTCTAGTTACAAGCCATTATACTTCCGGAAAATTGTCGGAATATTTTGATAGTTTTTATTTTCTAAGTTTCTACCAAGTTTCTATTTATCATATGACGTGTAAACACCAATTTAGTTTGTAAAATTATGCAGGTCACTTCTATAATTAGATATTATATTACTAATCAACACAATTATTATCTTTTTTGTTCCCTTGAATTTCAGCCAGGCCTGATGAACCTTTCGCCATCAGCAACTTGCCGGGATTTTTCATATAATCCTCGAAACCTCATTGAATGTTTTCTATTCGTTTACGGGGACCGTACTGGACTACGAAGTTGCTTCGTGATTTCATTGTCCATATTTAAACCTACAGGCTTAGACATATAATATGCTCGAATATTCACAGTAATTATAAACTAAATATATATATATATATATAATTAGAATCTTAATTTTAAATGAAGACGTATCTCACGTTTGAATAGAAGAAGTAAAAAAGTAATTTTAATGTGAACAAATTTCAAGAAAAAAAACAATATAAATATAGGACCGAACTTAGTTGAGATTATTTCACGAATGTTACGCTTTTAAAATATGGTAGATATAAATTTTATATCATTGATATGCCATCAACTGGCGCAAATTTCAGGATAAATACTTTAATAAAAAAAATATTCCAATTTTGGCTAAAAGTCATCTAGAACTTCGATGTCAGCAAACTACTCGCTCGAGGAGACAAACTCAATGATACCAATATTCACAAATCAAGCCATTAAATTATTTTTAGAAGCTTTCGATGCATGATTTGAATGTCAAACAGATTTCAAATCTAACAATTTTTTAGTCAAATCGAGCATCTTGACAAGACAAATCTAACATGCATAAGATTATTCAATTCTGACCCAATTAAGACACTTAAATGTCTAATAGTGTCTGATCGAGCGAACCACCTCAGGTCGTTTGATAAGAGTAGTCGGGTCTTCTTCTTTACAATATAAACTCTATAAATAGAGTCGCACCCCCTCTTGAGAATAGGAGATAGATTTAGAGCTAAAGAAGACTGAAGCTTAGAGGAGGAGTTGAAGTCCAGCATTGCTTCTGCATTGCAGATCCGGTGAATACCTCTCACTATGTCAGCCACCGTCGCCGCCTCCGGGCAACTCTAGCCATTGCCTCTAACCAACTGTGGCTAGCGATGTCGGCTAACTCTAGTCGTCGCCGCATTGGGTTGCTGTCGTCCGGCAACCATTGCCTCCAACCAACTCTGGTCGCTGCCACCCTCCGACCACCATCGACCACCATCGTCCACTACTTTTTTTTGTGATAAAGTCCATTATGCATTCACAATGTGCACAGTGGAATCACAACGTGCATTACATAGTACCGTGACATTTTGCAAAACAACATACCACGAATACGGTGCAACGACACACCCTAATGAAGAATAATAATGCACCCATTATACGGTACAACAATGCCTCTTAATGATAGTGTAATAACGTACTTTAGATATGGTGTGATGATGCCTCCCAACGACAATGTAACAATGACATCAATATACAATGTAATGACACATCTCGAAGATAATGTAACAACACACTTACAAACGATGCAACAATATAATCGATGACGGTGTAACAATAAACCCAACATACAATAGGACGATGTCTTCCGATGACAGTGTAACAACGCACCCCACATACAGTTCAACGATGCCTCCCGAAGACAGTGACTTTCTTTGGACTACTAAAACTCCATCCATACAGCTCAATCGCCTCCGGACAACTCCACCATTCACAGCCTTCGAACACCTTTGACAATCGTCCTCGCTACCTCTAGTTAACTTCGCCCATCGCCTCCGGTCAATCCGACATCCACCACCCAACAACCACCTTTGGCCTCTGCTAGCGATGACCCTAAATATTGTGCAACAACTTTCCCGAAACAGTGTAATAATGCACCCCACATATGGCGCAATAAAATCTCCAGAAAATTGTGTAACAATGCACCCCAAAGATGGTAACTTTCTTTGGACTCCTAATGCACATTGCTTGCAGCTCTTACTATGGCCTTTGCAACCTACAGACATCATCACAACTCATCACTATGGCCTATGTGGACAACCAAAACCTATATGGTCCACAACTCGCTCAGCTTCTGAATGGCCCCTATGGCCTACAAAGTAATCACGACTCACCATTACGGCTTCACAATCGATGGCGAGATTCAATCGGATGATGAGGGTTTTATACTCAATGACATTGTTTAGCTGAAAATTTCAGGTGAAACGTTGTACTCTATAATGATGTTCTTTCAAAAGATGTGAAGTATCTCGGCACCAGCTTCAGAGCTATCATATACTTTCGTCAACATACAAGATCCATTGAGACAACATTTGTGAAGAAAGAGGAGCTTGTCTGAGGCAGGTATGGCACACTGGACCATAAAATCGACCAGTACTTATGATTTGATATCTGGTCGAGTTAGGTAGCAATTTCAAACTCTCCTAATTGCACCAACCATTTGATTAACCTTCACGATGCTTTTGACATTTATAGAATAGCCTTTAAAGGGAACTACGTGTAGTTGCTAATGTTGTGGGCCCAAAAGTAAAGATGTACCCGTCATGTTGAGAGCAGTAGAGCTAATGTAGTCTTGTCCGCCAATTGGGCAATGACTCTTTGTATCAGATAGAATCTTGTTGACGTAGTAGATGAGCTATTGAATCTACTTTTTTTCTCTAATGAGGATAAAGCTTATTGTGTGAAATGAAACCGTCAGGTAGATGAACATCATGTCTTCTTAGACATGCTTCAAAATGAGGGGCAACATGGCTAAGTATGTCCTGAGTAGCTCTAAAGTGACCTGATATTCATCTGTCCACTAGAAACTGACATTCTAAGTGCCTCTCAATATCTTGAAGAATGACATGTATTTATCCATTGAACGAACCAAAAAGCAGGAAAGAGAGTATATGTATTCGTTTAAGCATTAACCTCCTTGATGTTTTTCGGGGGCACCATTCTCTCAGTGCATCTTCTAAAGACTCATCTCAATCCCATAACGGGTGATCATAAATCCCAAAAGTTTCCTTGATGTGACCCCAAAGGCGTGTTTAGCTAGGTTGGTGCACATTTTTTAGAGATAAAGAGGTTGGAAGTATGCATGCGAATGAGAGATGTATTGGGATGCCTCCAAGATTTTTTACCAGCATGCCATCAGCGTATGACTCTTTTGTACACCTCTAGAGATCTTTGAAGTTCTTGTTCATGAGGTCGTGCTAACATTCTATTTGAATTGAAAAACTTGGTAGTAGCATAAACCTTTATCCATTTGGAAGGAGGTGGGGTCTTCATCACTTAGATTCATCTTTACCCGGTATGCATCTAAGAAAATAAGCATCTAGTGTCTAGACATGGCTTCAATTAGTTGATCTACGTCCGGAAGGGGGAAGTTGTCCTTCAAACAAACTTTATTTAGGTTGGTGTAGTCAAAACACATACTTCAAGCACTACTAACCTCTTTGATCATGACAATATTAGCCAATCATACAGGGTGATGCACCTCTCATATCAACCGCTTCCAAAAGCTTGTTAAATTATTGATTGATCTCTTGTAGGTGATTTGAATTAAAGTTTCTCTTCTTCTGGACAATCGGCTTGAAGGTAGGATCTACTATTAAGGATTCCATGATTATCTCTATGATGAATCCAGTATATCAGTTGGCTCTTTTTGAAAATATCTACATATTCTTACCTTTGCTCATTGAAGAGTAGGAAGCCAAGTTGCACCGTGTGTGAGGGATGACCCTTGAGAGTGAATCATGGATCAATTTTTCAACAGGATAAGCTCGTTGGGATACATTCTCATCCCGAGATCATAGCTTTTGATGTTACGAGTCACTAATGAGCACGGCTGGGTTTGCTTGAGGTCGCCTATGACGAATATTGTGCACACTAGTCAATATTGTGCGAGATCAACTTCAAATCTTAACTCTAGTTGTTATTTAATAATGTATCAATAATGGTTCATACTATCTACCACTAAATGTTTGTTAATCGACTACGCCATCCTCAGGATGATTTCCTTTGTAAGGATAATTGTAGTTACTAAGTCCAACATCATAAATGAAAATCAATATATTATTAAAACGAAGACACTATAAAAAAAATTCCTATTTACATGAGCAAAAAAAATCCTATGCGCCTTTTGATACGACTACAATCTGAAGGGACTCGTAACCATGGCTAGGTGGGTCTTTATAGCAAGTTCAACAATACTCACCACCATAGTAGTGGTGACTATCTTCTTTTCCATACTTGTTTTGCAAAACTTCAGCATTGCTCTTTTTCTCCTCTCTAAGTTGTCGCATTTTTTTCTCCTTTTGCCTTTCTCTCATACTCGCCTTGATTTCACCCTCAAGAATAATATGGGAGCTTCCATAATCACAAATTCATGGAACTCAATTGACTAAGAAAGGGAGGAAAATCACAAACACTTAACCTCTTTACCTTGGAAGGAGGAGATTCATTTATGAGCGAGTTATGCTTATCTATATACAAAGCAATCAAAGTGCAAAAACAATTCAAATTTCAATACGGAGGAGAGCTTATGCTTATGAAATAATTTAACCTGCTAAGCTTATGAAATAATTTAACCTGCTATTTTTTTTTTTCATGTTCAATGTGCATTATTGCACTAATTTAATTGTTGCAAAGGAAAAAAAGATACTTTAAGCTCATAATAAAGAAGTATACAAACCTCTCTTAACAAAATCTAACAACTCTAATTCCATTAGAAAATTAATTTGTTATAATTTTGTTATTCTTTTCACAATCATCATCTTCCAAAGAAAAAAAAAATGGAAAACTAACATGTTTGGGATCAATATCTTTTTTGTTGCTCAGGTTCAGTGGCATATATGTAAGAAATGAAGTATAGACATTAGATATGAAATTACATAGAAATTTAGTGATATGAAAGCAATAAGTGAAAATATTAAAAAAAAAAACAAAGTGATCAAAAATATTCAGTGAAGCCATTCATCTGTCGCCATTCTTGAATGAAAGAACGAAGCCCGAGGTTTGGAATAATCTCTTGATGCTGAAACTGGCGATTTGTCATCGGCGACGTCTTCTGCCCGCTCTCAATCCATTTTCTTATGACTGCACCTTCATATGTGAATCCATCTTCAGCAACATGTGGATCCCTCATGACTTCCTGCGGTATAAACACAAATCATAAAATATGTCAGTAAGAATTTCATCAAACTTATTCATACATCGCAAAAGATTATAAATTTGGCACTCACCCGAGAGATTGGACAGATGAAATATGATGGAATAATGTTGTTGATTTTTAAAGCACAACTACATGACAAAGGATGGAGCTTGCCAGAATCATTAACTTTCACCATTGGCTGGAGCACCTTCCAAGCCTCTCCTTCGAGACTCAGGCGGCTTTTTTTTCTGGCGTGGCAGCATTTCAAGGCCAACTCTGCTAGCTGCTTTGCCGGAAAGTAAGGCCACTTTCCGGCAGAACCATCCAGCATCGTGTTTAGTTTCTCATTTTCGATGGCCACTTGAACCTGGCTAATGATTCCCAAAGCAGGTTTTCCGGTCAGGAGGCGCAAAAGCACAACCCCGAAAGAGAAGACATCGGCGGCGAGAGTAATATCTCCTGAGGAAAAAAAGTCAGGGTCCATGTACGCTAAGTTGCCTTTAGGATTGGTATGACAGCAGGAAGTGTTAGTGATGTTGAATTGGGCTACATGTCGGCTGATACCGAAGTCACTAAGCTTGCTGACAAAGTTGTCATCAAGGAGAATGTTGGCGGGCTTGAGATCTCCGTGAACGATGCCATGGGGCTTATTTGAGTGGAGGAAGATGAGAGCTGAGCAGATTTCAGCTGCTATTCGTATACGAACAGCCCAAGGAAGGGGATTTGTCTTGTCCTTGCAGGCGAGGCGATCTTCAAGACTGCCTTGAGGAAGATATTCATAGATGAGTGCAAAAGCTTCAGGGCATGTCCCAATGAGTGAGACTAGGTGAGGATGCCTCATGTTAATGAGAACTTCAACCTGCATTATATGGGATCGTTTTATTTTAGTTTCATAATCTATAAAAATGTCAAATTAATTCCCATATTATTTAAATTGGGGTTGAAAAAAAGCTCATGTTAAAAAATTCTTAATACTGAACAGACACTTTTTTATAAATTCTAGTGTTACAAAGAATCAAAAGATAATTTTGACGGTTTTCCTGTAAACAGACATAATGATAACTGTCCATCAGCTTGTTAAAACGCATACCTTTTGACGAAATTCTTCTTTCCCTTGCATTCCTTTCAAATTTAATAGCTTTATGGCGACCGTTGTGTGGCGGAGAAAGCCCCTGTACACTTTCCATATCCGCCTTCGCCAATCTTGAGGGAATCATCAAAATTTTTTGTTGCTTCTTCAAGCTCAGAAAAGGAGAAAATAGAAAATTTAACTTGCTCGTGGTCTCTAACAGATGTCTCCCCAATCCTTTGGCGTAAAATTTGAGTTTCACGCACTGCATTATCTCGTGCATGTTTTAGCTCCTCACACTCAAACCTCAGTTTTTCAAAGTTGTGCTGAGCTTCTGAAAGCTTATCTTCAATTTCTTTGAGCAAGCTCTTGGAACCTGCGACATGGGTTTCCATTTCTGCTTGCCGCGCCCGTGCCTCCGGCAGTCCTAGAAACATTTCATCTCGGTCTTTTTTTAGCCTTTCATTTTTCTCCATTTCATCTGTAAGTATTTTCTGGAGTTCTGCTTTTTGTTTTTGTTCCTTGGTGTGTTTGAACTTTGAAGCATTGGCCTAATAAGAAGGCCACCATAGTTACTTAATGCAAATAAAAATTAATAGTTTTCTTCCCCTCCTCATTTATGTTAGAAAAAATATTTCATAGATAATCTAGACTCACTTTCCAACCAACCTCCACAACATTCCTCGCAGCGTTCTGACGTCTGATTGTTTCCCTGTAAGCCTCATGCTTCAAGTTCTCTGTTTCAGTTTGGATTAGTTCCAATCTACCATACACAACACGATCAAAATCTCCATTCTCCTGCATAAAGTTATTCAAACATTGAATTTTTATAACTTTTAGGAAATATATTTAAAACAAGCTTAATTATTTCCAGCTCAACGGCAAGTGGAAAGTAGATGAGAGCTGTGGAGTTTCAAAATCTTGTTTAGAGGCTACCATTAATGAAGAACCACTATCTTCATGCTTGTGCCTTGATGCAGTGCTAGTGCTGCCATTAACTTTATCATTTGATGGCAATAACCAGTTTGAATCACTTACAACCCCGTCTGTGATAGTCCCACTCTTAGCTGTTGGTATGCTAAAGGGAGCTGAAAATGGAAGCTTTAGCATGGGTTGTCTTCTACATGGGACAGCAGTTTCAAGCACCGTTAAGGATTTCGATCCGAGCTGATTTGTGTAGTTTGATGACAAAGTTTCATTGATGGCATCATCCCTAACAAAAATGGAATTCAAATATAGAAAATCAATATAATGAAAAAAACTTCTAAACGCAAAACTTTGATTCCAAGCAAGTTATTCATCACATCTCAGGCAACGAGCTTTCGAGTTGAGTAGTAGAGATTTGAAGGAGTTAGTTAGCTCACCGTGTGCATATCAGATGCCCCTTACAAACAAACCAGATTTTGCATGACAAATGTGCCTTTTGTTGAACAGTGATAGCAACCTTGGAATTTGGCGATCTCATTTTTCTGCAGAGTTGACTCATAAGGGTACAAACTAGCTACCATTTATAAGCGAAATTTCCATGCAAGAGAATTACTACCGTTTTCAGGGCATAATTCTTAGATTCACATTTGTGACAAGAAGAATCCCCATTTTTTATATACCAAAAATATATCTGCTATAGTTAAATATCATTGATATGTTGCAATCGCACAATTATCAACATTGAAGTGCTAATTAAAAGCCATGAGATATGCCTTTTCATCATACCTTGAGTAATATTTGTTTGAAGCGGCACCCATGACAAGTTTTGTGATTCTGAGACTCGCCACAAGTTCTACGATCCCCATGCCAACATCATCATTCTCAAAAACCAACTTCTCGCCTCGAAACTATGAACCAAAAAAAAAAACAATTATATAAGGATTGCATGATCATAATTGATTCTTTAACTAAATTTTAATTATAGAGGGTATTTTAGAGGTTCCATCCAAGTTCCAAAGAACAACCAAGTTTGATGACTATTTTGTTTAAACTACTAGACTAAAATGTTTGCCGAAACAAGACCACACGATTGTTTGCATATATCTCACAAAAATTCTTAACCCAAACCACGTCTCAGAAGTCGTTCTCAATCCAACCCACATTGCCTATCGTGAGCCTTTAGACTACAACATCTAGAATTCATACAAAATTTTGGTTGCCTCCTATCGCCTCTTCTATTGACTTGAGAAGATTGTGTTAGGGCATTACACCCTTTGCTCTTACCTCATTTCTTTCGGCTACAAGCTTCTCCTCACTTTTATATATATATATATATATATATATTCTTTCTTTTTTTTTTTTTTTTGTAAAGTTTGGTCAAAGACGATGATATTAGCCCCCATCCAACCTCATGTATCTAACCACTCGATTGATCCGCACACTAGCGAGATCGAACCCCCGACCCCAGGGGACTTAGAACTGACATAGCAGATATCAACCAAAAAGTCGGGGAACAGGCATAATCTTCTATATTTAAATGAATAGTAATCAAATCTTTGAATCACCAAAAAAAACCATTTTTAGTTGCTTTTTATAAGTGAATTACACCTTCTCATAAATAGGTTTATTACACTGAAGTGTTATGAGTGTAAATGTAAAAGTTTAGGTGTTAGATATGTAAATGCATAAGAATAGTGTGGTATATATGAAAATTCTTAAAGAAAGAAACCGCTCTATAAAAAAGTGATCTATGAAAAAGTATCCCCCACAAATATAAAATCATCGGAATACTTTGGGCAACATGGACACCATACAGCATCCATCAAGATGGTACCGCAGGCTCAGATATTTAGTTCAAGTTCGAGATCAAACTATATTTTAGCATTGAATCAGTCAAAATTGAGCGTTTTTCAGAAGGAACTGAAATTTTTTAGCAGATCTCAGAACAATCATAACTACAAAAAGAAATTCGGGATAAATGAGTAACGAATGGACCTTTGACTTTGAGCACAGAGCAAGGTATTCAGCCATAGATTTCTCCGCCATTATTCTCTCCTGCTGCCTGTAATTTCTCACGTGTTCCTCATCTAGTTTGCTTGCAGGAACCATTGCCCCCACTCAAGTCAAAAAACAAACAGTCAATTACTCTAGAAGTAATAGCTAGTTACTAACAAAGAAAAAACAAGCAAAAATTTTTGTGAATGAATATGATGAAGCAAGCCTGCAATTTTCTAATGAGACAAAACTATAGAGAATTTTTTTCGTTTAGCCTTCCGGCAAAATATGGTTTTGCAATTTTCTGTTATAAGAAAAGTCTCCAACCAAAACAAAAACTAACAAAAGATGTTCTTTTAAATAGCAAAAGATGCTTATAATTTTAGTTGTTTCCTTGGGAAATATCAGAATCTTGATCATTCGTTCGCAAGATTTTCAGTGGATTGAGAAGGCAAAATGCAAATGAGACAGTATTAACTGGAAATTAGAAGATGAAAAAAGCAACAAATCCAGAAAAGAGCTTTATTTCTGCCGAACACAAACCCCACCAGCCTCCAGCCAGCTGAAACCTAAGAATTAAACTATTTGTTCTGCTTCACAAAAGAATAAATTAGACCGAGAGAGATTACTCATTGGAAGGAGCTTAGGTGGACGATGAACATGGAGGAGCACAATCTGGTTGTCGGTGGAGGTATTGCGAAGCGCCCATTGAACCATTTCAATCCCTTCCTTCAAATCTCTGGGTACCGCCACGTACACTTTATTCTCTTCTTCCTCATCCGCGACGCCGCTCGCCGGTGGGAGCTCCTCCATCTCACTCTCTCCCCCCGCCTCTCCGGCAGTGAGTACGGCTGCCGCAGTGAGCTCGATGCCGAAGAGTAGTTAGTCATTCCAAATCATTCCCTCTCTCGGCCCTCTCGGTGTATATGCGTATGGGAATGTAATGCCGACTTTCATAAATGCAACTACTTTGAAACACCAAAAAAATAGTTTCACACGACTAGTATTACAATGGACTCATATACCTCATCATTGGAGTATTGATGATGAGTATTGATGCATGTATCAATACCTCTGAGATAATATTTTTTCGTGAAACACCAGTATAAATGGCCAAAATGAGTGATGTCATAATTTAGGAATAAGTATAAATTGGGCATTTACATACATACCACGAAATTTTCTTATATTTACATATCTAAACACTTAAACTTTATTTTTAGATGCTTATCACTCAAATCTTTAATATCATCTTAAAAAAAATTTATTTTTAACGTTGTAAAGGTATACACTTAGCCCACTACTGATTGTTATCCAATCGAGTAGAGTGGAGTATGTTTTAGTTTGAACTTCTTAGACAAATCAAAAATTGTTAATGTTCCGTTTGGGCTTGAAAAGAGCTTCAAAAATATATTTATAATTAGCTTGCTTAAAATTTTTAATATTCATCCTTAACATATATTTGATTCGTTTAAATTAATTAAAAGTTAAAATTTCAAATGAATTTAATTTTTTGTATAAAATTAAATTTGATTTGTACATAAATTTTTATATAAAACTAAATAAGTTACAAATTTAAAAGGGTAGTTAATTTTTTATATAAAATTTTTAACTAACTGATTTTAGGAATCTAAATAATATATACAATTGAATATAATTCAAAATATCATATCACTAGTTAATATCAAGAAAATAAAACAATATATAAGTTATAAGTAACTTTTTTTTTTAAATCAAATAGTATAGATAAGGACTAACAAATAATTCCATTGAAATAAAAAAATTTAATAAATAAATCTTTGAATTGATGTGGATATCTATATTAAATTATAATATTTCATTATTAAATATGCTCTTATTAATTAAATTTTATTAAATAATATATAAGTAAAAAAGCATTAAACAAGTTATTTTTTGGACAAAAAAGAATTTTGTTCATGAACATTAATTAACAAGAGAGTTGGACTAAATTCAAATTTGTTCACTTAAGCTCCAAGTTTTTAAAAAATGTCTAAACTTATTTTTTAATTTGAACAAACATAAACGAGTATTGAGCTAAGTTTGCGTAATGCATCAAGTGCATTAGTTCAATTACAACCCTACCCGCGACATAGTGACTGGGGTTTTGTTTCTTACTGTAAGGTCATGGGTTCGAATCGCTCATATTGCTTTTTGGGCTCAACTTTCCTTGGAAAAAAAACTTTTTAAATGAAAAATAAATCTTTTCTTGGATAGGATTATAACATCATGGATCTATAAATATAATATCAAACCATAGGTATTAAATATGTAAATAAATAAGAATTTTGTGATCTGTATTGAACATTCCCTTTTAAATATTGATAAATTTTATGGGCTTTGCTGTTTGTAGGGCAAAATACTGATTTGATTAAATATAAATTTAAAATGCAATGCATCGATCTCAAATTTAGATCAACTGAACTTTCTTTTATTTCTAAAATTGGTTTAAAGATTAAACGACCAAATGATGTGAGTGAAATGGCTAAATGCATGACAATTCCAATAACACTGAAATTGCACAGAGTAGTGCATAAAAAGTCCTTGAACCAATTGAAACTCGTTGGGTCGGCCTTCTCAATTTCCTCGAGTGTCCTTGCGCGCATGGATGATGTGGTGAATAGAGATTGGTGCACCTTTTGTTGTGCAAAACAATGTAAAAAATTAAATCACACAATAATCAAGCTATCAAACGCGGTGTCATTTATGTGGTTCAATGCAAATCCGCCTACATCCATGAGAAGGGGTTATTCCACTCTCAACAGATGGGGAGAGGGAAAAATATGGTCGAAATTGGATTACGACTTCACACATAAAACTCAGCATAATCTCTGCTACAAAAAAGAGTGGACTAGGGCATACAAATTAGGAATATTTCTACTATAGAGAAGATCATGTAATTAGATCACATCTAATTATGTTACATAATATCGAACTAACTAATATGGAAAAAATATTGTAATTAGAGATTATATAATATCAACTTTCATAATATACAATCATTAAATTTCAAATTTTCCATAATAATCTTCACATTATCACTCACTTCTAGATAAGTGTGAGATGAACAACATTAGATTCAATACCAGAATGGCTGCACCAAAATAGTTGTCTAAGTACCTCACTCCCGAATGAACTAAGCCTCATTTAGTTCGTCAAATTGCTTGAATGAGCAATTAATCATAAGCTCAAATGTTCATCAAATTTCTACATTACAAAAAATTCTGGACTAGTAGTACTTTTATGAGCATGTCCGTTGGATTCTTCCTCTTATTTAGCGTCTTCAACAGAATATTATCGTCATCAATCAAGTCTTGAATAAAGTGGTTCCTCACATTAATGTGTTTAGTACGAGCATAATGAACTTGATTTTTGACCAATAATATCACACTCAGATTATTACAAAATACTATTAGAGACTCCTCATCAACTCTCAAATCATCCAATAGGCCCTACATTTATATCACTTCCTTCATCGCATTTGTGATTGTCATGTACTCGGTCCCCATAGTAAACAAAGTAACGACAGACTGAAAAATTGATCCCCAACTGATTAATCCTTCTGTGAATGTGAATAAATAGTCAGTCATGAACTTACGCCTATTTATATCACCCACATAGTATGAATCAATATAACTGACACACAAACCAAAAATAGATGGTTGTCTTTCAAATACCAATACAAAATCATTTGTACCCTTCAAATACCTCATAATACTCTTCACAACTTGTCAATAACTCCTTGGATTATTCATGAACCTACTCACAACACCAACTACATGAGCATTGTCTGGTATAGTACAAACTATGACTTGCATCAGAATGTCGACTGCACAAGTATAAAGAATCGATCACATATATTTTTTCTCCCTATAATCTTTAGGACAATGATGTAAAATCAATTGAATGTGAGATGCAATTGATAGACTCACTTCCTTGCTTGAGTCATCAACCCAAAACTTTTTTAGTACATTCCAAACATATGCTTCTTATGAGAGTCAAACATTTCCAACTATCTTGTCTTTGAGAATCTTTATACAAAGAATTTTGTGAGCTTCACCCTACTCCTTCATCTCAAAATATTTGGACGGTTGCTTCTTCTTCTTACCAATCTCAATCTGATCGACATATGCAATCAACATGTCAGCAACATATAGAAACAATTATATGAACTCAACATTGACCAACTTCTTAAAATAGGCACAATGACTGTATTGGCTCCTTATGTGCTCATGTCCTATCATGAACTGATCAAACTCATTATATCGTTGCAGTGGTGACTGCTTCAAACCATATAAGGACTTATTCAGTCTATAAACTAAGTATTTTTAGGCTTTATATCCAGACGAATGCAATACATAGTTCTTCTCTTATAACCTCCATGTATGAACGTAGTCTTCACATCAAAATGCTTCAAAATCAGATTGTATTGTGTTATAAGTGTTAACAAAATACGGATAGAGACATGCTTGACCAGTAAGGAGAACACCATGTCATAGTCAATCTCTTTTTATTGTGTAAGCTCTAATTTCACTTACTTAGCTTTGTACTGCACGTAAGCTCTATGAGATTCTTTCTTCTATGCATTCACTCATTTGCACTAAATGATTTCCCCTTTCTAGAGAAAGCTTCAACAACCTTCAGGTAGCATTCTTTCAAAAAAACTCCATCTCTTTATTCATTTCCTCTCTTCAATGATCACCATCTAAGCTCTCCACTGCTTCCTTCTAGTGCAAGAAATTTTGGTCTTCGTAGCTGAAAGTATGAATGCAATGTGATATCTCAACCAAGTTGGCTTTGAGATATTTCAAAGACTAGTCTTGCTCTTAGCAATAAATTCTTAAGTAGGGACCTCATCATGAACATTTTCCTCAACCTCTTTCTGAGTAATGTCAACAAGTACCTCCTGAGCTACAACTAATTCAGACACCTGAGTAGGAATGGATGAATTCTATGAAACAACTGAAGTCGCAACAACTCCAACTTCTGATATATATTTGTAGTCCTGATAAAACATTTCACATGCTTCGAGTCTTGATGCTTCAACATGCTTGCATCATCAAATATAACATTCTTGCTAATGAAAATCTTCTTCTAGGCTTAATCAAAAAATTTGAAGCACTTGACTCCACGCCTTAAGCAAATAATATCACCTTCTTTTCTCGTGATTTCAGTTTATATTTCTATACGTGGTAGAAGTTCGACACCCAAACACCCTCGTGTACTCATAATTTCTAGCAGGATACCCAAACCACACTTTCTTTGGGGTCTTCTTTCTAATAGATTTAGAAGGTGGATTGTTCATCAAATGACAAACATAACTTATGGTCTTGAACCAATAAACTATATCCAAAAAAATATTAGATAACATATGCTAAACATTCTCCACCAATGTTTTGTTAATCCTCTCTACCACCTTAATCTACTGCAGTATCTCTCGAACATTGAAGTGGCACTCTATCACAGCTCTTTAACACTCTTACAAGAGAAAATGTAATGTGCATTCACTCCCGTTGTCTAATTTGATACACTATATCTTTTTTTTTTTTTGCTCCAGTTCTTTCGAGTCATAAAAATCTCTAGCAAATCCTTCTTGCACTTCAAGATGTGCACCCAAATATATCTAGAATAATTATCAAAAAAAGAGATAAGTATCTCCTCCTGCATAATAAAGTCATCTTCATTTGGCCCCAAACATCCGTGTACACATACTATAAAGTACTTTTTGTATTGTGGGTGACAATACCAAAAGATACTCATTTTCTTATAAAACACATAATATTCATAGAAGCTTGT